ATAATAATAATAATAATAATAATTTATAGGGGCTAACTTGAAAGCCTCATGGTTCCCCTATTCATAATTCTCTATACCTCTTTTAATTTCCCTGTTAATCATAAACAGCTTTCTTATTTTATTGCAATTCCATTTTTTGAGACTTTTGTTTCATGCAAAAAGGCTTTCCTCGTTTTAGGATGTTCATCCACTCCGCATCTTTAGATATTCCGCCATTCCGCCCATCCACCGTTCCTCCGTTCCATCATTCTGTTGAATAACTCAAGTTAACGAATCTCGCAGCTTGCTCGCTTTGCAAATTTAGCGGCTCTTTTCGACATAAGCCGCTGATTCAAACAGTAAAATGCCCGCTTTTCAAAGAAAAAAATATTCTCAAAGTGTGTAATCGTGTTTGACACCAATCATACCGCTATTACCGCTATAAACATGCTATTTTAGAACGATTGGGTGATTACACAGGAATCCCAATTAGGAAACAACAATAATCTCACGAACTTGAGGCAAGTATTCTGCTGGGCTTCCTGCGTATCACTCGTATACCAACGTGCATTCATACATATCTTATCAAAACCCAGCACTTTACCTAAAATTACATTAGGGTGCTCTCTAACTTTGGAGTTACTTCGGACACAAAATTAAAATGAGGTGGAATCAACACGTTCCTGACATGTCTTCTAAAGCTAACAAGACCTTACATCTGATCAAAACAAAACTTCTGGTTTTGTGAACAAGACACCAAAAAGCCCTTGCATAAAGTGCTCGTCCAACCCTGTCTGAGGCCCAAACTACCGATATGATATAAATAAAGTAGAGAATATTCAGACGGCAGTTGCTCGTTTTTTCAAAGAAAGATTATAGACATACGTCTAACGTAACCTCTATGGTCAAAGAGATTGAATAGGAATCCCTGGCCTCTCGCCGCAAAAAAGCTCGCCTCTGCACAATGTACAAGATTTCAAATGACATCGTTCATATTAACAAGTCTAAGAACTTAACAGAAACTCAAACTTACGGAACGATAAGCGATCATTTTTCCCTCATCCAGTGCTAA